GGAATCCTTTGTCTGCGTATGTGATTGTGAGTTTGCTGTCCTGCCAGCTCAGTAGTACAGCTGAGGAGTTTCTCTCCTCATAAATCCTCTGCTTCAGGGTGCTCCTGGTGTTACTGAGGGCTTGACCTCACGCTCCTTAATGGCTCAGGCTATTTTGAAATACAGACAAAACCCGTGTTTACTTGCATTATACTTTTGGTTTACTTTTTAAAAATGGATTTAGAAGAGATTTTGAAACCAGTGACAAACTATTTTGACACATTGGAAGACTGGTTTAAATATAGCTGCTGGTTTTTATCTTGCTGGTGCGTAGCTGGTTATTTTTCTCCCACAACTCAGAATAGAAGCATTCAACCGTTTAGATACGTCAATGAACTATAGGTGTCTCTGTTTCAGTACGTTTCCTACGTGCGTAGACTAACGGGACATACTGACTTAAATATTTATGTTGAAAGTAACTCTTGTTATTGAAATTGACTCAAGTAAATAAACCTTTACCAGTATTTGTGATTTAGGTTTTGACTTTAAACTGTCAAGTCATGGGTTTCCTTTGGATGGTAATGAAATACTAAAGAAACTTCTCTTTTGGGTCTGTAATATAAAATGTTTTAGTTAACTTTCAAAACATTAGCTGTGATATCACAGCAGTTTTTTTTTTTTTCTGCATCACTGTATAAAAATGGAATGTAAAAGACTTACCCTTTATATAAAAAATGTTATGATAAATGTTTGCATTACACTTACCAAATTTAGGAAGAACACAGAATCCTTTAACATGTCTGTGATCGCTACTTCTTTTGGACAGATGGTTCCAAACAGCACGAACATAATAGCAGCAGTGTATGCATGGAGTTGGTAGGAAGTGAGCCTGCGGTCCACAGGGCATTTTGTGCAAGAAACGTACATAGCGGGCAAATATAAAAAGCTATATTTAAATAACGGTGTGGAAAAAGGCTCTAGTTGTGGTTTTGTGTTGCTTAGAGAAACTAAAATAGCCTCTAACGATGCTGCTTGCAGTTTATTTTGGTCTTCTGATAGTCTGTGGTCTTTTTTTTCTGACTATTTTTTTTTTCAAACTGAAAATAAGGATACATTTTTAGGCATCTCATGCTCGTAGCCATTGAGTCCATGAGTGCTAGCTGAGAATATTTATCTCCCTGTTAACAAAGTATCCTTTGCAATCTTAGATCAGTAGCTTTTTAGGAGAGAGGCCTGACTCTGCTAATGAAGCATGTAACTGTTAAACCAATCTTCATCAACTTTGTGCATTTACGAGATGCGTTCTGTATTGTACTTTGACAGAGCGCCCTGTTCTGCACATTCAGCAATGGAAGGTGATAATTTGGAGGCTTTGCTGTGTCCATCTCAGTAATTGTTGTTTGGCGTTTGTAGCATTACACTAATACTCTTTTACTAACCACACCTGGCCATGGATCCCACTTGTGTTTTGCTCTGCTGCTGTTTGTAATTACTGTTGCAGGCTGTTAGAGGCATAGAATTAAGTGTGTTCTAAGCTACTGTGTAATATTTCCTATATTCGAGAGGATGAGAAGATTTGTTCCTGCCACTGTCCTCAGCTTAGCTGTTTTCTCTGTATGAGTTAGTACTGGCTGTGTTGGGATAGTGTGGCATGTGTTGGAGCTCTTGGGAGATGCTTTTACGCTGTGACATTCACCAGTATTTGAAATTACTGGCACTTCTGTTTGCAACTCTTGCAGAGAGTTTTGAGTTTGTATATTCTCATAAAAGAAACTGCACCAGTGTACACTGTAATTTGACTTTCCCTTTCTGAAATGGAATCTGCACTGCTTTGGGTTACAGACCCTGTTTGCTAGTCTATGGTTATCAAAGTCTTGCACTGGTGTTTTCTATACCAGCGTCTAAAAATATCAGTGTAGACAAGGCTGTGAAGTAACCGGACCTGCATCATGCAGCTGCTGAGTAATGATCCATAAAACATGGACAAAACTGCTGGAACCAGTTCGCTTAATTACAGGGAAATCTTAAGTTGACTGTGTAATGCCTTACTTGCAGGTCCCCTCCACTTCTTGATGTGGTTTCAGCTCACTCTGTTTTAACTCTTCAGCCTTGCCTCTTGAACACAGCAAGATTTTGGGCTTCTTGAAAAGTGCATCCTTGCTGCTCTGTATAGAGAATTCTTGTATTCCACATCTCGTTCTTCTGTGAATGTGTGAGGTCACGCAGCAGTTTTTCTACATCCGCTTACTCTAGAGAAGCATCACAGCTGTGCTGCAGAGTTCAGCTGACACTGGCAAGTCCGTCTGAGTCGTGGGGGACATTCAGCTTATCTCCTTGCACCATTTCAAAAGATGTAGGAGAGCTTGAAGCCTACATCTTGCAGCTCTCCAGATAACTTTGCTTTGAATATGAAGCTTAAGCAGCATAATTGAGAATATATAGCCAAATAGCTCTTTGTACTGATCACAGCTGGATCTGAGCTTCCATATGTAAAGGCTCAAACTGTTGACACTGTCCAACTCCATTTACAAAGTTTGATCATGTTACCGTTGGTATTTTTAAACCATGTTAGCTTCAATCCGTTATTTTTATGATTGCAAAGTATGGCTTGAGTTGGCTCTGCCGGGATTTTGAAGTTTGCTCTGGCTTTGTTTCCTAGCTGCAGAAGCTCTCAATGAACGTTGCTCTCATTTAGTGAAGTTGCCTGAAGAGAGCCTTTTCTTCATCGCTATTAGGGAAATATTAATAACAGGACTTGATAGTTCTAGGTCTCATCAAGGTATGATTAAAAACATGGGTTTTCATCACACCCAAATTTTCAGCCTGGGCAAACTGAGAGTATATACCTGAGGAGCCTTCCCCAGTTCCTACCAGTTCTGAAGAGTGTGTGTGCATATGAGTGAAACCAATTTATGTGGGTTTGTGGTTTGTAAAGATCTTAAGGGAAGCATCTAGCAAAGTGACTCCAAAATGACGTGCTTGCCTAGCGGTTCACATACAGATAAAGGCATGGTTGTGTATGTTTTAGAGACCCGCTGAAGAGTTAAGATAGATATTTTTCCTGCTCTTGCCTTTAATTAGTCGTCAGCCATGGCCTCTGTAAAACGCGTGATTTCTAGGCTTTGAACTCTCCGGTTTGGCCTAGTCTCGTGTAGCTGGCTCTTTTTTAGTGGGTGCATGAGGCTTGTTTTCTTGTGGGGTTGGATCTTGAGCTGCGAATCGGAGTAGGCAGTGACTGTAACTGCTCTGCTGCTGGTAAGGCTGTTTCAGCTCTCGTGACTCCTGGAAATCCGAGACTTGTTGAGTCCTTTGGTGTACTGGCAAGGGCTTGGCTGTGCATAGATACTGGTTCTCTTTATCACTCCCTCAGTGAAATTTGAATCCTCCAATCAAAAAGGGAACTGCGCTCTTAAAGGGTTTTGCTGTTGCCTTTATTAGTCCAAGTCTAGCCCCCGGGGTGCTGTTTCTGGAGCAGCATACAATTTCACCAACAGAGTAACGCTGAGGGCAGACACATAACGCTGGTTGGCAACCCGAGATGTTTCGGTGTGTGTCAAAGAACTGCCTCTTTTACCTCAAATCACAAAGATTGTGAGGTGTCACTTCAGAGCAGGGAGTACCATTACTGCTCTGTTACCTGGCTGAAGATACGTGGCAGTGCCTTTCTTGGAATTCAGGGCCAAGAGTGGAGCTGTAAGAAGTGTGCCTGAATTGAGGTGGCAGGCCCATGGTAAACTGGGTCCCTCAGAGAACTGTGGGAGTTGAAATGTTTACTGGATGTCGTAAATGAATTCATCTATCACAGCAGTTGAAGTGCAGAGTTTGAACCCTTCAGATTCTACCTAAGGTCTGGTCACGCTACGTACACGAATTCTGCACTTGGGTTAAACTCAGTTCCAGTTTAAACCTTGGTTTTGCAAGTACTTGTCTTGACTAATGATTTTGGGGTACAAATATTTCCTGTTACTCCTTAAGCTGAACTCAAGGAGATAGTTGCAGACTGGTTTGTGTCTATTGTTGATTAAATACTTATGTTTTGATTAATTAGCTGAGTGACTTAAAAACAGTCACTTAGCACACATCTTTTAGCTTATTTCAATGAAGTATTTACCCATAATCACTAACCTTAGCACAGCACAGTTCCTGTCTGCCTAGAACTGGAGACAGTTGTTCATTGGTATAGTAAAACTTCAGACATCAAAAGTGGCGTATTAAATTAAACAAGGAAAATGAACCAACATTAATGTCTGGCTTGTTTTGCATTTGATATAGTGATGCTAAATCAGGTGAAAAGCTGAGCTGATTAGTGTCATTAAATAAGATTTCTAAATTATTTGTGACTGTGTGGACTTCTGTAAGAGAAATAAATGAGTTGACCTGCGAAAGGTTCTCTGAACGCTTCTCTTAAATTTCAGCTTTCTTGGGATTTTTAAGTAGTTATTTTTAGGGAAAAAAACCTCTCCAAACTAAAACATACAGGGAATTCAATCCAGGTTTGTTAAATAAGGTATAGAGTTGGTATTTTTCCCTTTGTTTCCCGTTTATTTAGGAAACGTTATCTTGATATATCATCTTTAGGCAGACTGCAAGCATTTTATGAGCTAGTTTAACTCAGTGGACATGGATTAGGCCACTACAGGAAACATTTGTAAAATCAGAAGCTAAAGGAACAGTCACGTTATCACATAAATTTCTAAATTAAGCAGCGAGTTCAGAGAACTCAAGAAATGCTTCATTTTATTTATTTTTTTCTCTCTTCAGTATGTCCAGCTTATTATGAACTTGGCTATTAACTCTTAAATACTTTCAGATATTCAAAACAACGCTTTCTGTAAGTCAGTGCAGACTGATGTGGCAAGAGACCCCTTTCAGTGTCAGTGGGCATTTCAAGGGTCGATTTATTTAAAAATACCCCGGGTCTGTTTAATGAAACCTGTTTGCGTTCCTGCTTTGGCGTGGTGCTGCTGGGAGGTGTGTGTTTCTGTGTGGATGTCTTTCACATAGCTGTGTGCTTCTTACAGGAACTGAATGATCTGCAGCGAGACCCGCCAGCCCACTGTTCTGCTGGACCTGTTGGAGATGACTGTAAGCTCAGCGTGGTACCTTGTCACAGTTTCCTTTTTTGGTTAAGAAAAAGCTCAGGAAATCTCTAATTATTGTATTTTTTTTGACTTGCAGTGTTTCATTGGCAAGCAACAATTATGGGACCTGTAAGTATCTAATTCGTGCCCCTTAGCAAGTAGTCCTTGTTTTGTCACGTGGGAATTGAGTTGGGATTCGGTAAACATGGCAGTCAAATTCAGCTGTGCGGTGTGCAGCGTAAAGAGTTAAGGTGGGATTGTTGTTCTTAGTAGTCTGGTACTAGGTTCTGCCTCTGACTGCTCAAAAGTCTGTCCTCTTCGTCAGGTTAGGGGTGCTGAATCAGTTAGCTGCAAGGTTTGAGTCGGTGACGGGGGCTGCCAAGTGAGAAGCTTGCTTCTCGGAGATGATCCCTTCTGGGAGCT